TTCATGCCACTCTCTCACTTCGTCCCAACTTACCCTTCCCCCTCCCCGTGTCCTCAAGTCCATTCTCTACGTCTGCGTCTTTATTCCTGTCCTGCCCCTAGGTTCTTCAGAACCTTTTTTTTTTTTAGATTCCATATATATGTGTTAGCATACAGTATTTGTTTTTCTCTTTCTAACTTACTTCACTCTGTATGCCAGTCTCTAGGTCCATCCATCTCACTACAAATAACTCAATTTCATTTCTTTTTATGGCCGAGTAATATTCCATTGTATATATGTGCCACATCTTCTTTATCCATTCATCTGTCGATGGACACTTAGGTGAGAAGCACAACTTTTAAATTTCCCACCTTTTATGGGGAAGGTTTATGGAAGGATACTTTATAACAATGCTATTTTTAATACATAATGTCTAAAAATAACTCCTAGAAAATACTTAGGGGCCTATTGTTTCAAAAAATTTTTAATTTATGGTTACTTCAAGTAGAATGAGCAGAGAAAAAGAGGACAGAACAACACAATCCCCATTTTAAATAAGGATGGAAATTATGAAATAAAGCATCCCAGTATGCATGTAGCTTTTTTTCCCTTGAAAACGGCAGAGTAAAGTTTTTATAAATACTGAGTTGTATTTATCTGAATAGACAACTCTGATTCCTTTATTATCTTGGATGCTTTTCATGTTATAGCACCCACTGCATAGATATTATTCCATAAAGAGTGCACATGTTATCTCCATGGAGGTACGTGGTGGGGTAAAAAAGCCTAGGTTTGGCTCAAATTCTGTTATTTTTTTCCAAGAAGCATCAAAAGCAAGTATCTCCATGATTTGCAATTCTGAAATGTTGAAGAAAGGGTGTGGCCAACATAAAAAAATAAGGTCACTATCAGGTCATATGTTAAAATAAATTCTTCAAATTCTCAAAGGTCTGAGTTTTTAAAACCTTTGAAAGTTAAAACAAATTTTAAAGGACTCCAATTCAGTTACTATATACCTCTTCCCACCAAGAAGGAGGAAGGGAAAAAAGAAACAGGTCCCCAAAAAAAATCATCCCAACAATTCAAACAGCTTCAGGGATTTAGAAAAACCAGCAGCTTTGCCACTTTGAACATCTCTGTTAAGTTATTTTGCTTGTATGTGCACACACTATGGCTGAGACAGGAAGCTATTTCTCTCCCAAACTACTTACAGTGTCTTACTAAAAGATTAACTTGCATACAGACAGTGGTCTCAGTGTTTAACACAAATAAGTACCTGGGCTGTACCTGGTAAAAATGCAGAGGAGAGTCCCCAGAGAGTCTGATTCAGTAGGTCTGGGATGGGAGCCCCTGCAAAGTACATCTTAAACAAGCAACCCAAGCAGTTTCTGACACACATGTTCCTCCTCTCACCACCAGGAATAGCCAATGTAGAAGGCTAAGGACTAATTTGGAGGTAATATTTCTGACATAATGGCTTAGATTCCCACCTGGAAAACTCAGAGACAAAGGATCTCCTTATTAACTGTGCTCCACTCTAACACTTGACACTCAGAGATTTGTCATGGTTTGTTCTTTTCCACTAGACAGCAAATACAATGTTATACCCCCCCAACGAAGACCCAGAACTAGATGGAGCAGTCCAAGGCATCTTGGTAAGGAAAGGTCCAGAATGCATAATTTTGTTCAGAGGAGTCCTAAAGACCCCAAAACTAGGCTGACTTTAAACTTCTGCTAAAGATCTCTGGAAGATCTTCTAGAGAGCATAGATCTTTTTGATTCCTCTGAGAGCCTCGCACAGTGGTGAACATATAGAGAAGGCACTAGTGCCTGTCAGGATGCACAGGAAAAGGGAATTCTGATCTGGTTCCCATCTGATAAAAGAAGGCCAATGAGTAGTTGAAAAGGAGGAAGTTGAAATTGCTGTTAAAATGCATTAGGTATTACTTACAAATTTTATGCTAATTTCTTTTTACAAATAGATAAAGTTGGGTTTAAAGTTGCAATCCCTCCAGTTCCCACTTTGGAAAAGTTTTCTGTGGATCAGAAAAATCTCTCTACTATAAAAGGAAGCTCTCAACTCATTTCATATGTCAGACTTCTGTGGAAAATCACCAAAGACAGAATAATTTACAGCTTAGTTCATGCATCATCAGAACAGGTGACTTAAGAGTGCTTCACCAAGGAAGTCCCCCAAATAATTTTTTAAACTGATGTATCAATTTTCTCTGAACTATTCAATATACTTTACAAACATGAATTCTAGCAACACAGAAAATGGCTGTGAAACATCATTTTCATTTTGCAATATTAAAAACAGATTAAGTTAGTATAGTGGAAAGAGTATAGGTCTTGTAGTTGTAAGATCTGGGTTGAAATGCCACTAACAAGTTGTGTGAATTTAGATAAATTACATCTTCAACCTCCATTTTCCTCATATCTAAAATGGGGAAGGGGCTTCCCTGGTGGCACATTGGTTAAGAATCCACCTGCGGATGCAGGGGACATGGGTTCGATCCCTGGCCCGGGAAGATCCCACATGCTGCGGAGCAACTAAGCCCATATGCCACAACTACTGAGCCTACGCTCTAGAGCCCGCAAGCCACAACTACTGAGCCCACGTGCCACAACTACTGAAGCCCGCGTGCCTACAGCCCGGGCTCCCCAACAAAGAGAAGCCACCGTGATGAGAAACCCATGCACAACAACAAAGAGTAGCTCCTGCTCACCACAACTAGAGAAAAGCCCACGCACAGCAACAAAGACCCAATGCAGGAAAAAATAAATAAATAAATAAATAATTAATTTAAAAAACAATTTTTAAAAATATTTTTATAAATTTCAGGAGTCTTCCGGGTGAGAACATTTTCAATTTACCTTTTACTTCCTATCCCATTACAAGGTGTCTATCCCTTTTATACTTCTCCACAGGCCCCACTACTCCCCACCTCCCACCTCCATACCACCATTTTCAAAACAGCCCTCTTTTCTTCAACACATCTTCAGTCCCTTTCTTAAAGTCCTCCTCCTTCATGCCCTAATATTTAATTTCTGAGACCGCTGACCTAATACAAAGGACTCCCAAGAAGTCATTTATAGAAATGCTTTAGTTTCTAAGTGCTTGTACCAACATTAATTTTTTTTTTTTTTTTTTGGCCTCTCACTGTTGCGGCCTCTCCCGTTGCGAAGCACAGGCCCCGGACGCGCAAGACCCAGCGGCCACGGCCCACAGGCCCAGCCGCTCCGCGGCATGCGGGATCCTCCCGGATCAGGGCACGAACCCGTGTCCCCTCCATCGGCAGGCGGACTCTCAACCACTGCGCCACCAGGGAAGCCCTAATTCTCTTTTTAAAAAATAAATTTATTTTAGCTATTGATTTTTGGCTGCATTGGGTCTTCGTTGCTGTGCGCGGGCTTTCTCTAGCTGCGGCGAACGGCGGCTACTCTGCCGTTATGGTGCACGGGCTTCTCATTGTGGTGGCATCTCTTGTTGCGGAGCACGGGCTCTAGGCGCACGGGCTTCAGTAGTTCTGGTTCGCGGGCTCTAGAGCGCAGGCTCAGTAGTTGTGGCTCACGGGCTTAGTTTCTCGGTGGCATGCGGGATCTTCCCGGACCAGGGATCGAACCCCTGTCCCCTGCATTGGCAGGCGGATTCTTAACCACTGTGCCATCAGGGAAGCCCCCAACATTAATTCTTACAAACACTTAATCCTTTATAATGACTCAATCAGATACACAAGGCTGATGTTTTGGGGGTTTTTTGTTTTTTTTTTTGCGGTACGCGGGCCTCTCACTGTTGTGGCCTCTCCCGTTGCCGAGCAACAGGCTCCGGACGCGTAGGCTCAGCGGCCATGGCTCACGGGCGCAGCCGCTCCGCGGCATGTGGGATCTTCCCAGACCGGGGCACTAACCCGTGTCCCCTGCATCGGCAGGCGGACTCTCAACCACTGCGCCACCAGGGAAGCCCAAGGCTGATGTTTTTTCTAGACTTTACTGTTATGGCCCAAGATACATAGCTAGAAAACAGTATAGCCCAGCCTAGAACTCAAAAATTTCAGATTCTAAGTTCAGTACTCTCTCTACTCAACTTATAGAACTATTATCTCTTGCATATCCTTTCTTTATATCATTTGTTCAAAAAATATGGGGAAAAACCCTCTTTGTATCTTCTGGTATCACTGGAGCACTGCTACAAAGGACAGCTTCCTCCCTACAGTATTTTCTAGAGTATATAACAGTTCAAGCAACCCCAAGACAGTGAGACCAAAAGTTCGTTTCAATGTCTCCTGTACGTCTTTCAAATAGAAAGAATTCTGGGATGCTGCATGAAAAGGGCCAAGAGGCCCCGCCACAGTCTCTCCATGACGCCCTAGATATTTCTCCACTTATGCCCTCTTTCCTCCTCCCATGAGCCGTCTTGGGTCTGACATCTCAACAGAGACCCTTCTCAAACACAAACGACCCTAGCTGCCAAACAGATTCGTGCCCACAGCTACGTATTCCTCGCCAAGCACGACAGAGGTTCCCCTCCTCTCTGTTCACACCCTTGTCTGAAAAACTTCATCTTCCAGAGCTTGCACCTTCTCGGCCTCCCTCCCCCCCACCGCCCCACGATCACCCTTGCACCTCCTCCAAAACCTCCCAGTCTCCCGGGTTGGCGGGCGATACTTCCTATCTCTCCGTGCCCGGATCGCCTGGCCTGCAGCCTGCCGCCCCGATCTGGCCCTGGCAGACCAAGGACCCCTCGAGTCCCCCGGGCCCGAGGCCCACCAGCCTGGCCCCTGCCCCGCCTCCCAGCCCAAAGCGCCAAGTCCTCGGGGCTCTGTCTCCAGGCCCCGGCCAGACTCCAAGAGCCGCGGGCACTGTGGGGAGAGCAGAAAGGGGCGGCAGCGGGCGTTCAGGACACGAGGCAGGCCGGGCGCTCCAGCCAGGAGGCCCGGGGCCCGACCGGCTCCCGACTACCGTGGCCGGGACTCAGCTCTCCCGCTCCGCTGGCCCGCGCCTCCGCGGCCTGCCCTCACCTGATCCAGGTTCTCGTCGCTGCCGCTGTCTTCCGTGTCTGAGTCGATCACAACGCGGCCTTTCCGCTTCTTTACCATCGTGGTCCCCCGGCTCCCACGCCGGACGCCGCCCGGACTCCCCTCTTGCCCGCCTGCCAGTGGGACCGCCACTGCCGCCGCCGCCGCCGCTGCTCGACCCACACAAAGGCGACCGCGCATGCGCGCTCCGCTCCGCCCCTGGCCCCGCCCCTTGCTCGTCGCACGCCGTTCGCCGGCGCCCAGAGCCCCGCCCACCCCGCCCCAGACGCAGCGTGGGAGGCGGGGGCATCGGGTTGGGTTCCGGGCTCTGAACCGCCGTTCCGTAACCAGCGCTGCCCGTTGGAAGACTTGGGTGTGTCTCTGCTGCGGGGCTGAAGCTTCACGTGCTGCCTACCTGTCGTGGACTGCAGCGGCAAGCATCTGGGTCCTCTCTAAGGAGCCTTTCAACTGTCCGACACTGATGGAGTGTCGAGGGCACCGACAGGGCCGTCCGCCTGGGAGACACAAATCAGCTGGACCACGCTGAGGGCACCTGTCGTGGGATGAAGCCTTCCTACCTGGGCTTTGCGAATGACAACTGAGCTGGGACGTGGAGGATGCATCTGATTTACCCAAAAAAAGAGTAGCGGGAAGGGTGTTCCAAGCAAAGAACCTCTTGGTCAGAGACCTAGCGATAATAGAAAAAGTTGGGCTCAGGGAACTGAAAGTTCATTATGGCCGAACAGAGGGTACGGTGTGTGTGGATGAGGCCGCGGAGGGACCCAGCGGCTGAATCATTCAGACCTAATAAACTCTTAGGAAGTTTGAACTTTGGAAGTTTGAACTTTGGTATTGAAAGATTCTAAAGTGAAGAACGGCATTATCAGATTCGTGTTTTAAAAAAATTACTCTGGCTGCAGTGTGGCGAATGGATTACAAAGGAGGGAGACTAAGGCAGGGAAACCACAGAGGCTATTGATTGCATTTTGGCAAAAGATGATGATGCCCTCAAGTAAGGAAGAAGCAGTGGAATTGGAGAGAAGTGGATGGATTCTGGATAATTTGGAAGGTAGCATTACCAGGACTTGAAGATTAGTTGCGAGAGGGAAAATGTGACGTTCCAAATACAAATGCTGCTCAGGTTCTGGCAGCTGGTGGGTCCTTCATGGAGATAAGGAACACAAGTGGAGAGGAGGTTGGGGAGACTGGAGGGTGCAGGAAATCAGTTCAGTTTTATGCCTGTTGAGGTCCGCTGATAAAAACAAATTCAGAAGTGATTTCTTTGTGGGACTTGGAATATAAGGTAGGGAGCGTCAGCAATAATAATTTGAAACTGTTCTCAAAAGTTTTTGGAGTCCATTAATTCTTTCTTCTGGTAGTGAACTTGAGAGCTAGACTTCAGTCTTCCCTGAGCTGTTATTGGGCAGAGGCAGGCTGATGAGTTCTTGCTGTCTGGTTTCCCTTTTCCTTTCCCCTTTACTGTCTATATTTTATTTTCTCCAGCAAGTTTGTATCACAAATGTGCATGCTTTAAAATAATAATAAGAGAAGATATAACATACACAGAAAATCCCTGGAACTAAACACACCTACATGTCAAGTTTGCTGCCAGTTAGCTTGAAAAGGGTTCAGGATTAAGGTAGAGAAGACAACCCAAATAAGGCTCAACTATCTCTTTACTCCAAAAGATTTTTTCCTAAGAGAAGTCCCCTATACTTCTCTCCCCCAGCATACCCTTGGAACTGAGCCCATGGCCAAGATGACCCAAAATGACCAGGTCATCTCCCTTGCTTCTAGCTACCCCAAAGGCTGGTGCCCTTCTCTGAGGACCCTCTCTAAATGTGTGAATAAAAGAAAGTCATAATATAGTCAATGACTATATTGCAGTCAATGACTGCAATGAAGAAAGATATGTTCTTTATTTGAGTGAAATCTATTGATATTGATCTTTCTGCAAGGGGTCTTCTAATGCGTCATGGACTGGAGTTAGTCCATGCTGAGACTAAACTGAAATGAATGAATTAACATTCTGTACTCTAAATTTCCTCTTGAGTTGGCTTCCCAAGGAACACAACCTGTGAAAGTTTCCCCTTGTAAAATGAGGATAATGATAATATCTGCCTCTTTGGGTTATAATAAGGTATAAATTAGTTAACACAGGTTAAAAAAGGTGCTTAGACTACTTCCTGGTAAAGAGTAAGCACTCAGTAAATGTCAGGTATCATTGTTATAATTGGAGAGGCAGATTACAGTAGAGTGGGAAGGGGCTGGAGGAGGAGTGTTGGAGATGGGAGATTTTTATTTTTTAATTTGTACACGTTGGTGTTCTGTGAACTTATTACACTGAGTATGAATTTTTCATAATTTTAAAATGTTTTTGGGGGGAATAGAATAATTTTTAAATTATAAAAACGATTCCTACTTATTATAAATAAATTTAAGGGCAGAACATAAAGGAATAAAAAAAACTATGTAAAATTCTCCCATCCCAAGATATCCATCCACTCTTTATCAAAACAAAATTGTTTGCATGTGTGTACATTTGTTCAACATGTATTTATCAAGCGCCTACTATATGCCTGAGCTCAGGCACTGAGCTAGATGCTGAATAAGACGAAAAAGTCACCAAGACAAGATCTCTGCTCTCAAGAGACTACATTTATTCACACATACACATTGCAAAAGGCATGCACATTTAAAGTGCTGTGAGGATCCCTTTTCATGCAGACCACCCGAGAGGACAAAAGAGATTTTTTTTTTTAAAAGCTTGTTTTATTTTTGTTTTTTTAAATGTATTTATTTATTTATTTATGGCTGTGTTGGGTCTTCGTTTCTGTGCATGGGCTTTCTCTAGTTGTGGCAAGCAGGGGCCACTCTTTGTCACGGTGCGCAGGCCTCTCACTATCGCGGCCTCTGTTGTTGCAGAGCACAGGCTTCAGACGCGCAGGCTCAGTAATTGTGGCTCACGGGCGCAGTTGCTCCGCGGCATGTGGGATCTTCCCAGACCAGGGCTCGAACCCGTGTCCCCTGCATTGGCAGGCAGACTCTCAACTACTGCGCCACCAGGGAAGCCCCGCCTCCCATATATATTTTTTGAAATATAGTTGATTTATAATGTTGTGTTAGTTTCTGGTATATAGCAAATTGAGTTTTAAATATATATATTTTTTCACATTCTTTTCCATTATAGTTTATTAAGGATATTGAATATAGTTCCTTGTGCTATACAGTAGGACCTTGTTTATCTATTTGATATATAGTAGTTTGTGTCTGCTACTCCCAAACTCCTAATTTATCCCTCCCCCACCCCCTTTCCTCTTTGGTAACCATAAGTTTGTTTTCTATGTCTGTGAGTCTATTTCTGTTTCGTAAATAAGTTCAATTGTATCATATTTTATATTCCACATATAAGTGATATCCTGTGGTATTTGTCTTTCTCTTTCAGACTTACTTCACTTAGCATGATAATCTCTAGGTCCATGTTGCTGCAAATGGCATTATTTCATTCTTTTTTATGGCTGAGTAATATTCCATCATATTCATATACCACATCTTCTTTATCCCTTCATCTGTCGATGGACATTTAGGTTGTTTCCATGTCTTGGCTATTGTGAATAGTGCTGCTGTGAACATAGCGGTGCATGTATCTTTTCAAATTAGAGTTTTGTCCAGATATATGCCCAGGATTGGGATTGCTGGATCATATGGCAATATTTTTAGTTTGTTGAGGAACCTCCAGACTGTTCTTCATAGTGGTTGCACCAACTTACATTCTCACCAACAGTGTAGGAGGGTTCCCTTTTCTCTGCCCCCTTCCAGCATTTATTTGTTATTTTTTAAAATATATATTTATTTTTGGCTGCGTTGGGTCTTTGTTACTGTGTGCAGGCTTTCTCTAGTTGCAGCAAGTGGGGGCTACTCTTCATTGAGCTACGGGCTCTAGGTGCGCAGGCTTCAGTAGTTGTGGCACACGGGCTCAGTAGTTGTGGCTCACGGGCTCTAGAGCGCCAGCTCAGTAGTTGTGGTGCATGGGCTTAGTCGCTCCGCGGCATGTGGGATCTTCCCGGATCAGGACTCGAACCCATGTCTCCTGCATCGGCAGGTGGACCACTGTGCCACCAGGGAAGCCCCAGAGTAGCACTCTTAACCATCGTCAGCAATTTGGTGCCTCTCCCTGGTCTGGTAGACAAGCACCTTCAGCTTGTTTACTCAAAGCAGTAAGGGACCAGCACACTGGAAATAATTTTAGTGTAAAACATATGGAGGGGCAAGATAGTAAAGGTGGTCAAGACGGGGCAAGAAAGGAGAAACACAGTAGCCAGAGGCGGGATAGGGAAGGGAGAGTCTTCTAATACGTCTCCAGTGCGGTAGGCTAGAGGGGCCTTGAGCAGCTAGCATGCCCTGTCCATCAGCCTGGTCATACTCTCCTGGGAATCCAAGAGTGGGTGACATTCCAGATTTCCCCAGTTTGGAGAAAATATCACTTAACACCCTCCATATCCATCTGCTCTGAAGGCCCTGAACTCCAAGCAGCCCCATAATCTGAAAAGGCTTTTCCTTTTTAGACACAAATATTCTTGACAAATATACTTTTCATAATAAACTGTTGATCAATCTTATAAATCATTCTCTCTGTCTTTGGTTAGCAGGGACTGGTTCACCAGAGCCTGAGCACTTTTCAATGATGAACTGAGCAGCCAGACTTCAAGGAGAGAGGAGAGATGACAGCCTGGGGACTCTGAGCTCTGTGTTCCCTCAGCATAACACCATGCTTTTTCATGGATGGCCCTTCCTCTTTCTCTCTGTTTTTCTTACTTTGCCTTAGACTGGATGACTTTCTCTTTCAGCCCCAAATCATGCCCTAATGCCCCAATGTGTGAATAGAATCATATTTTCCTACTGACTGCTCTCATGCAGGTGCTATTTTTTTTTTGGAAGAGGAAGAAGAAGGAGAAGAAGGGAGAAAGGGAGAAGGGGAAAAAAGAGGAATCGATGAAATCAAAAGGAAAGGAAGAAGGCAAACCCCATGGTATGTTGAGGACAGAGCTTAAAGCCATGGTTTCTTTCAGTGTCTCCTCAAGGCTCTTTATTCATTCAAAAAATGTTTTTGCAACACCGAATGACACACATTTCTAAGTGAATCCTTTGAGTAAAGTGTAGTTTAATTAGTTGGGGGGAATGTGGGGCGTGTTTCAGTCACT